GTAGATATCAAGTGTGTGATGGGATAGGGTAAATATCAAGTGTGTGATGGGATAGGGTAGAATCAAGTGTGGGGTGAGATATGAGAGAGACAATTTATCTTTTTTTAGGTTGGGCGAGTTGTGCCATGTTCATTGTTATTATTTCTCTTAGGATGGTGAGCTCGATCAGTACGAGCTTCAGGCCTTGTTATCAAAGACTTACAAAAAAGGTATTGAGCAATATTCAATGACTATGCGTGCTTGCATTGTGCCATCAATTATTGCTTTATACTCCAACTGAGTAGAGCAGTCTGGGGTTACTCCTGTCTTTATGGACTAAAACATATCTAACATATCAAACCTCATCTGAAAATGCTGATGGCTTTTTTAAACGATGCGTTCGAAGTGGAAATCGCGTGACCATAACTTTCAGGACTATGAGATAATATCAAATTTATGGTTCAGTTTTCTCCAGAAAACGGCGTTTTTTAATGATTTGCGAAACTGATAAGAAAAAAATGGTTGAGACACGTAAGTGAATATTTGAGTCCAATTATTCAGTTGTGATTACTGAGCCAACGATTATTGGGATTTGTTATATAGATGATTTCTAACTCGCGCTCTGATTGGCCAAAAAAGTGTGGTTTATGAGAGTGTAAACCACGATTGTGCGCGAGCGATTTTTGAAAAAGGCAACAAAATGGATTTTTGCTCAGTAAGTTTTGCTCAAAATCTATATAATAAAACAAATAAATAAGTCTCAGCCTGTGGTTTATACTCTGATAAACGCACGCTTGGCATTTGAAACACACTCAAAAATGTCCAAAAGCACTCGATCGCTTTCAGCTCGTGCTTCTTGACATTTTCTCGTGTGTTTCAAATACCAAGCGTGCGTTTATCAGAGTATTTTTTTAATTGTTAAATACGGCTAGTTCCTGTGTCAAACGGTATCAATGTATCAATGTATCAATGTATTTGCCACAATGATATAGCTTCTTTAATGACAAAACCAAACAATGTATACTGCATTTAATTGCAAAATATTCTTAAATACATATAAGGCACGTTGGGAGTAACCACAATCGCTTTTTGAGCTCATCCTATTTTTTACCGCTTGTCGGAAAGCCAGGACATGCGTCGTATACGTTATTGTTATTCCCTTTAATTTATTTTATTGTCTTTAGCATAATCATTAAATATGATTTTATTYTCAGAGATAAACAACAACCAATTTTGCTTGGAAGCTTGCAGGTGAGTATTAACTATTTCTCTTCGATTGTTTTGTTGATTTATTTATCCTAGTTTTTTCTTTCAGGAGCATGATTTCAATGTTTGATGTATCCTTTGATATTCGATTGCATTATTCATGATATATTTTTGACAAGAGATATACTAATTAGCTATATCTCTGGGTGCAGCATAAAACTGCTAGTAGTTCCTTGACTGCTGCTATATAGACCGACCGCTCTGGCGCGTTAGGATACAACGAGTTTCGCGCGCTTCGAATACTGATGATTAAATGGGAGGTATGCATTCAGTTCATTGCTATAAACACTACTCATAAAGAAACCTTTGTATCTTTGCTAAGCACACGGACCGAGGTGTAAAGTGGTTTTCAGAATGGGTAGAGTGCAAAACATGCTTCATATTCAGGATTTTCAGTATTGGTGGGTTGCATGTGACGTCATACTCAAGCAAAAAATATCGAAAAATCCAAGATATTTCTTCTAAAGAGCTATTCTTACAGTATATCTTAAATATACGTCTAAATAGTGTGTATGCAAATTTTCATGCGAATTCAACGCTTTGGTGGCGAAACACAAAAGTTTTAGTTTGTGCGGAGTTTAATTTATTCTACCGTAGATCGTAAGTAAAAACTTCGAGATTAGATAAATCATTCTTTCAACTCCGTAAGAACTTACTTAAGGTGATTTTTCTTTGAAATAAAGTCATAATTGACCAAAATTTACAAAGGAAAACACTCTTTAAAGTTAATTTGAAATCAGACGCCATCTTGGATGATCAAAGTTATCATCCAAGATGGCGTTCCCATACATATTAACCAATTTTTTCAAATCTTTATTCGCTTATATCTTCATCGAAAAGTAAGCTACAGGACTAAAAGCTCGTATTCTAGATAATTTGACTATGCTCTTTATGACTTGCTACTTGGTTTTTGAAAATAACGAATAATAACGAATGATAAATTTTCAGTTCGGGGGTTGCAACCCAAGAGAATACGCCATGAGCTAAAATGAACAGAAACAGGACGAGCGACGGAGTTTCCAAATTAGTGCGATCTCCACGACGTAGGGGGTGATTCAAAGTTTGTCCGTGGAACCTGTACATAGCTCATATCTCGTATTTTTTGTTTTTCCTTATAGAAAACATTTCAACAGTATGACAGAGATCACAGCGGAGATATGAATGTTTATGAACTTCGTAGAGCATTGAAAGGTTTAGGTAAGGCTGTTTTTATTCATCCATTTCCCATGTTTCAATGAAATTACCTACGATGACGTGTGTATACACAATGAAGATGACGTCATATTAAAATTACACAATAAACTTTTGAAAAAGAAAAGTACAATTTAAAGAAATCCATTTAATGTCAACTAGCTCTTTGTAAGTTAATAATTTCCTTATTGTTATTTTTCTAATATTTAATTTTTATTTTCATATGACAACGCTCTTGCAATAGCCACTTCTCAGTAGATTAGTGATTAGTCGCCAATCTACCGATAGCCTTTTGTGAATGTATAACAACACTCTCTGATTGTATTCTAGGGTACAGTTTGAGTAATGCAGCCCTAAGCTCCGTCGTGCTTCGCTATCACAACAAGAAAGGCACCATTTCATTCGATACCTTTATGCAAATTGTCGTAAGGGTAATCGTGATGTTTGGTAAGCGAGACTTGTATATGTAACAACCGTTTGCAAATATCGCTGTGTTGCTGTACCAAACTTGAGGGTTACAAAATATGGTACAAATTTCAACTCTGAATAAAATGATAGAGTGGCTTGCTTCTTAAGTTTTTTTCATTTGTTGTGTCTTGATTGAAAAGGTGTGTTCGTGGGGTTGGAGGGATATTGCCCAGCTTCCCTGGCTGTTACCTGATAACAGTTATGTGAAAAGATAAATTTAACACCGTAAAAAAGTATGTGGAAAAACTTACTGACGTTTCGGATGTTAATCCTTCGTCGGAGTAAAGAGAGAGAACTAGGTATAGTGTGAGTTTATATAGTAAGAGTAACAAAGAGAATAGACCAATAGGAGCAAGGTAGGCATGGTGACGAGAAATAAACAAAAAAGCAAAGGAGGTGTTAGACAAAAGAACAATAAAGGTGCTAAAAAGGAAACAAAAGAATTAAAACTTATCTGAAAACAAAGCGTTCATTCAACCCACGGGGATTATAAGTGCCCAATTGGTGAATGAGCCGCATTTCTTTGGTTTTGCGACAATCATTATTGCCGCTAATCAAAGACAAACCAAAAACARTAAAGTTAGAAATAGAGTGGTTGGGTAAGTTACCTGATAAAACTCGCGGTAAAATATTGAGATTTGAAAAATTCCTACCTGTCCTTTACTTGCGAATCTCTTAATTTCGCAAAATTTCAAAAATTTCGTGATTTTCGTAAAAACCAAGTCACTTTGTTGTTGCGATTCTGTAGTGAATGCAGGACGTGACAAACAAGAACTGCAACACGAATGCGCATAGGCTCTACAAAAATAAAACTATTCCATACAGAAAAATCTATTTCACCAATTTTCGCACCTTTTCACAACAATTGATTTTCACGCCACTAAATTTTCTCAATTTTTGGGAATTCGCGAAATTAAGGTTGAGTAAGGTGCGCGGTTCCAAAATTATGAAGGTAGTTAGTTTTAAGTGGTTGAAACGTGACATTGTGCAACTATGATAGAAATTGCAGTATTACCCTAGTAATGCTTTGCCAAAAGCAGAACTAAATTGTAATTCTTACCACGCCACGAGCAACGCAAGAAGAGCAAGTGAACCAGTTCTGTTTAACTTGCCAACGCTCTCTTTGCGATACAAATTGCTGAGAAAATTGCACATAGTAACGGAACCTTACGATCTGCCTAGGCATAGTTAATAGAGATAACGAATATTTCCATATTTAGGATGAATTAACGGTTTTCTTATTACTTTCAGATACTTTTCAAAAGAACAGTCATGGATCGTCAAGGAAAGCTTCGTTTACTATGGATCAGGTAGGATAATGTGCGGCTATGTTTAGTACTTTTCCTCTACGATTGTATTTTCACTGCAAATATACCTTTTTTTTCCTGCTACAAAAACACGAATTTCAGCGTAAAACCCTTTAAAGATTCTAAGATATGAACGCCTGCCCGCGGGTCTTGGTCGAATCTCAACCAATAAGGGCAGAGGAAAATTTGTTGTTGAATTATAACAGTTGATAATATTGAACGATTAAGAACTCAATTAGAGCTTTTCCAACAATTTTGCAGTCACGCAGGCTGAGAGCATGCGCAATGTTGCTTTACCTGGAATTCTGCCATTTTGATTCTCCCTCCCAACATAGCTAAAAAACTATTGGAAGATCGTGTGGAAAATTAGACTGTAACAGGGCTACCAAGTGGCATAACAAAGTTATGATTAATTTACATTTAACTGTATTTGTCTTTCAGTTCATCGAATCAACTTTGACAATATGAAAGTCTGGCTACATTGAAACCCTCTGTAGTCGATGAACATTTTGCGATACTTCAAATGTAATATTTATTTATAGCACAAACTTGGAAAATGGAACACAAGTAGTTCCGGTTATTGAGTTATTAAATCATGAAGCTCATTTAATATTCACTTTAATTGATAGAATGTTTAGATTACAATTTTATAATCAATGAATCATTAATATTGATTAATAGATTCAAATAGTAAATGGCAGCAGGATAAGAAATGAGAGAAACAACTATACATCCATCCATTATAATACTGTAAAGTCTTCTTCACAGATCCTCACACCATCTTGAATGGTACGGATGATCTTGCATTAAAGTGTGAAAACTGGTGATAAAAACCTCTTTTAACATATTATTCACTGGTATCTATCAAGCCTTACTCTCTTGCCTTGTTTCCATGACCTAGTAAGATAGGAGGGATCCATGAAGGAGACTACTGACTGTAGATTTACAGGCCAGCATTAACATAAGAAAACAAGTGATTCAGGCTCTAATTTAGGCCAAGGYCATATGTCAAACTTCACCTTTATTCCTATTTAAGTCGACTCAAAAACATGGATTTAATTGTACTTGACTTTTAAGTGTTGTATATATATTCCTCTAATGGTCACTGTATTTTTTGATATGGCAGATAACAAAGACAACTTTTTCATTACATTTGGAAAATGTGAGATTCCATGTATAAATCAACTGCTGTATCAGATTCAGTTKAAGTCGTATTTATTCAGTAAAGTTGATTGACACATCTCCCATGCATGTAATTTGTGACTTGTATTTGGGACATGAGAAGTTTGAGAAATAACCTGTGCCTTACTCAAAAAACAAACTGAAAGAAGTGATAGTCTGAGTCTTGTTTTCTTTTGTAGAAGATATGATTCTCCATTGTTTCAGCAGAAGGACATAACATATGCTGTAAAAATGCTTTAGTGATGCATATTGAATGAAAGAATTGTACAGAGAGGCCCTAGATGTACATGTATTATGTGCCTATACTTGATGAATTAAACTAGCACACAACAAATRCAAAATAAATGAGATATTCTRAAAACTAAAGTGATGATAAAGCTAAGATTAAAAATTCATGAGAAATTTGAAAATGTTTGTTGCCTTCTCCTACTTTGTATATACTTGCAGACTGGGACTGAACTCTTAAAAGTTCTCTTCCAATCGGTTTTTGAGAACTCTTACCTTTTGTTAGAGAGGGGCTGGGATGAGTATTGTAATAACAAAATATTGTACATCACTATTTTTACAATGACTAATGTTAGCAAAGGATTGTGGGTAACAATATTCCCATAATCCTTTGCATGATATGAGGTCCAAGAATATAAACAAGCATGTCATGATTTCATTTCAAAATTTTCATGAAGCCAGTACATACTTGATAGAATATAAAATAATTATTAGCAGCACTTCTTATTATACTTTGTAATGTCCTTTCTAACACTGTAAGATGGCACAGTATCAGTAATAAATAATGCAGAGCTTTCCTTATAAAATCAGACATCTACTACCATCTTCTTGTGAACATCCATATTGCCAACAATCTGAAAGAGAATTACTGTGCTTAGAATATCCTTTACCTCTACAACATGCAACAAAGATCAAATCTCCCACAATCTCCCCACTCCCTGCCCTCCATAAACTTCAATAACATAGGCCTGATGGGAGAGTACATATAGTATGTTATGTTGTGTCAATCTTCTGTATGTATTGCGAGTATTATGTTCCCTTTTGTGTGATTGGATCTAAGGGTGATTGTAGACACTTACAGCACAAAATTCACTAAAGCAGATTTTTCCATCACCATCTTTGTCAGCATTAAGTATTGTTTTGTCTACAATCTGTTGAAGTTGYGTTTCCTTCAAATTATTGCCAACCATCATTTTCAGCACTTGAAATAGTTCACCATTTGAGATGAGTCCATCATTGTCCACATCATAGATTCTAAAGGCAACTAAATTCAAAAATGACATGATGTTATAATACTCAAAACAATGYCATTTAAGTTGTTTGTTAGCTTACATTTAAGTTTTGATTCTTTATCTCCTTTCACACTAAACTGTGAAACTCCTTCAATAAATTCTGAAAAACAGAAGGTATATGTAATGAATGATTATGGTAGGGAGGATGCACTTAATCCATGGAATAATTAGTGTTCTTATCTGTCATTTGTCAACGGTGGTTTTTCCTTATTGGTTTATAGTGTATCATGTAAGAGTCACAAAATGTCACTCAGCAGCAGTCAACRGTATTTTGCAGATCCTTAACAATAAATTATACTAAAACTGCTTGAAAACGTCRGTAACATTTACAAACTCTGCTGTTCAAATTTGCAAYGATACATTATCTWATTTCAACTACAAATAACTGATTTTGTTTAGAATATTTTTTCTCTTTTTCATTGGTCAATTAAAGTGTCATTTTGTATTCATTCATATTCTGGTCATTTTTTGCATCTTTTATGTCTTTTTAAAACTATATTAAAAACACTTTATACATGTAMACCATTACTTGTTTTGCTCTCCTGGCACATGCTATGATAATAAAAAAGCACTTATTTACTGCAACCTCTGGAAATCAGTATGTTTTGTGGTCCCTCAAACATTTTCGCTATTGTAAACATCAGCTTTCTGGGGACCACAAAACATACTGTTCCCCTCAGTTATGTGTTAATCAATTACTACTAAATAATATTACACATTTACACATACATTGTATGATTTGAAAATCTATTTCAAAATAGTTTCCATCAAGTTTGAGGAAAAAATAATCATAATATCAAATATAATATATCAAACTCTTTTGAAATTGCATTACCCATTGCATTGCTAAATACAGTACGGTGTTGTTTGTAGATTATAGTGCACCAAGTGAAGATATTTCCAATATGTAATTAAAGCAACAGTATTAAATACTTGTCAATAACAATAGCTACCAGTCCTAATATAMCAAACATACAGGTGAAGTGTTTTTCACAAACCAATGATTGCACTAGGTTTATTAAATTGTCTAAACTTTATTTCATGGGTTTACAAAAACTACCTAAAATCCAAAACAGACTGYTTTAAGTCAATAACAAAGTTATTTGCATATATCATTTTTGTCAGTTTTTAAGAGTAATATTCATTAATTATTAAATTGTGGTATTAAACATCCAATACTCAAAATATCYAGAGGTCATATAAGTACATCAAACACAAACAAATCATTGCACCTGTCTCCTTTAGATTTTACTGCACTTAATAACCATCATAGTCTAATGACGTGTCGTGGATCAGATCAATTTAATATATACATATTAATTATTCAAATAAAMACAGTTAACACTAAGATGTTTGTAATCATCAAAATAATCATTGTGTATAAAACATTCAAATACATTTGTCTGTGAAAGGAAATCAAGTTTGTTTACTGGATTACTTTTAAAACTCCTTCCATTGATAGTTTTAATCATTCGACACTGACTTATAACGTCTACAACCTATTAACAGTTAATATCAATAGGGATAATTAACAGAGTAAAATTTGACTTGATGACACAGTACAGGTTGTTTACTAAAAGCACAGGATGCAATAGTTGCTTGGCRGGCTTGTTGATAGAAARACAAAGAACAGCTGAATGTACAATTATTATTAKATATGAACTTTCATCAAAAGTWATCTGCAMAAAAATGACTATTTAAATATTAGAMCCTGAGGATAGTCCATCACAAACTCAACAAGGCTGAGAGATAGCATCATCAATTACACACCATGAGCCTAAGCAATGATACAAAAACAGTACTGTAAATATCATCAATACTCTAGAGATGTTTACTAGGGAATCAAAATGCAGTATTTTCCAATATTACATTACCATATATTGTTATGACTGTCAACATTACATATTGCTATAATTGTTTGAACACTGCATACTGTAATGACTGCCTATTGCTATTACAAGAATACAAACATTTTGCAAAGGAAATGGTACAACTTTACAAGTTCTAAACTGTCTCCAGAATGGTGCAATCAAAAAGTCACCTAACTAATGAYATCCTATATAGCAATGATTATAATGATCCTAAAATCACAAAAGAAGATAATAATTTCTTGTCAAATACACTGTATAGTGTTTCAATGAAATGTATATAAAAATGGCTTGTTACCATCTTACTATAGAATGAATGGACTATAAGGAAAAAAGAACAACCCACGCTTGGCCATASATGTGATATAAATAAAATCAACTTACAGTAAGATCACCTACATTTACATAACAAATATCTTATTGCTAATGTTATAATTTTTGGTCATAATAAATAGTGATATTGGTAGCGCTAGTCTGTTAAATRGGTAGCATATTCTTTTGTTTGTGGATGGACTATAATTTCTTCTTTATCATTGTGCAATTGTAGATCTTATCAGCTTTGTGGATATTTTACCTTGGAGACTACACAAATGGACAATTAATGTCAATACTCCAATGACATAGACTTTTCCAGAAAAATGATTCAGGAGTGGTTATGAGTACAATTCTAGGTGTTATGAAAGTAAGTAATGATGTTATACATTAGATATGGGTTTATCTTTGCAATGTTATTAACTCTTTGTGCAACTGCCTCCATCCTGTCTTAGAAACTCTTACATAACATCATTGCATATCACCCAGGACTGTACTCATAACCACTCCTGAATCATTATTGCATGYAACATCAAATTGGCTGTTCATAGGGTGCTTTGTTAGAAAGCTATGTTTTGCCTCACTGCTGAAGGGTTAGCATCATTGAGGAGACTTTCATTTACATAATTGCACTTTTGAATTTAAGTCTAGTGGGGGCATCAGACCTTACTTCTTATACCTTYTAATATGAAAACAATACACAAGGTATTCTTTGGAATAGTAACTTTCCATATTTGCATATCTTTTTCTCCAAGCTAAAGATGATTTGATACTACTTAGCACTCCTTAACCATGTTTAGACAAAAAGGAAGTGACTCTCAACAAAATGTTTAGTGTTGTGGAAAAGCATCTGTTGAGAAAACAATTTGGTATGTACATTGTATGACATGACAACAGAGCCTATTTCAAACTCCTAAACCATTGATCAGGGCAACTGTCCTTGACAACAAGCTAAGGTATTTGTAAACATATACTCTGAGTATTTGGGCCGAATAAAACTTGAATGTAATATCTATTGTCATCGAGAAAAAATGCTGAGAAGATCCAAGTAGAGCTGATACAATCAATTTTGACAACAACCAATCTATAGTGTGTCTAGGTTCGATTGCTTAAAAAAAATAAACAGACTTTTAACATGAATACAAAATAAGCTAGCAAATAAAAGACACACATAAGAAAATACTAAAAAAGAAACTCATTATTAAAATCGATGGCAAATTATTWCTGTAAGGATATATTGGAACGGACACGCAAAGCTTTGTTCATAGCTTTTCCAATGAGCATTTTACTTGTAAGTCAAATCCGATATAAAATAGGGATTAATGTAACATTTAGCAGAATTAAATTCCTACGCGAACCGAAAAGACAAGGAAAACTACAGGYTCTAAACTCGGTGAAAGTCGAAAAAAACAGCGTTTGAGCAGAGACAGGTGCAAAGTTACAGGTTTATCTGAATTCACCACCACTACTCGAGCCGATTAGGAAGTTGCATTTATTTTATTTTTGTCATTTTAGTTCATTGCCACCTTTAGCTATGAAAATGGCCATCGTTATRCAAGTGTTCTTTTCTCTAAATGTAAGCATCTCGAGTTTCGCTCACGGTGGGAAATTCAAAATGGCCGAGGATATTGTGCATTAATCCGAAAATGAAGGCTAAACAAAATCAATTGATGTATGTTAGGAAAGGCCGTTGTCTTCCGTCAAGCTTATTGACTTATGTATGCGTTTATTCTCTTACCTTTAAAATCAACCTCACCATTACCATCGGAATCGAAAATATCGATAACTCTCTGAACCAAAGGATTTTGTTGTAGTTCTGGCAATGACATGAACTCTTCAACTGAGAGGGCACCTGAATTATCCAAATCCAGCTTACGGAATCGTTTACCAAGTCTCCTTATTTCGTCTGCATCAACTACACACACAAACAACGAACGAACGAACAAGAAATTAAAGTTCTGAATGATAAGTAAACAGAATTAAGGAAAGTGGGGCTCTGATGTTGTAATATCTTCTTCATCTACGTTACTTACAATGCGTTACCATGTCAGACGGTAAAGAAGCTTCGTTTCCCTAAAAAACAAATACAGAATTAGGCAGAAATTACTAAAATGCATGGGTGGAAAATGCACATCGATCAACWGTTCACAAAACCTTCATTTGCAAGCAAGAGTTGATGCGCAAAAAGACCTACTAACAAGTTTACATAAGCTTGTTGGTGAGCATAGTTCGGCCAAGGCCAAGAGATCTTTACTCAAAATGTTTAGAGGATAATCAATCTAATTCGGTAGCAGAGGATGTAAAATCTACTAAACTAACCAATTTACAATAAGCTGGAATGAAATGTCAACAAAACGCTGCGGACACGAAGACAGAAACGGCATAAATATTCTACAGAGTTTGGAGTCACTACTTCATCATTTTCGGCACAAAAACATGTCAATGTCGATGAATTTGCAAGGAATTCACATAGAAGATAAAACGATGCGCAATAATAATTCAATACTTACCATTTTGTGATAGTTTTAGTCTAGTTTAGGAGCAGGTTCTTTCTATATATTT